CCGGCCTTCCCACTCGCCTTCGTGGGCCAGTTATCAGGGGCCGTTCATCACGCATGCCACCATTCATTATCAAGTGTTTGTCCACGAGCTGTGTACCTCCCAAGGTCAGCATGGTTTTCGGTCGAGGATTCCGGACGACTCACATTATTCAAGGTGTTGGTGGATTTAGTGAGGACAGAGAGGAAAGCTGTGAGCTTGACATCTTCGTATTCCTGTATGAAATTACCTGAAAGGTCAGAAATAATATATCGCTTGGCACACAAGCACAGGATAGGACAGCGGGTACCAGGTAGCACAATATGAATTCGAGATAACGTCGGACTCACAGTATTGAATTCCTCACGGAAAGAGTTACTCTCACTAGCAGGGAGGGAAGCAATCAGGGCGGAAAGTGATCGGAGAATGGTATGGTCTTTCGGAACTTGTCCTGCAGCTGTGAAGTAAGCATGATGATTTACTGTAGACAAAAGACATCACTGGAGTGTGTACCTGCGATGGCGTTTGCCACATACTGCACCAGCACCAAGATTCTTTCATGCAGCATTTTCACGGCAGCTTGCTGTGTATGTAAATGCGATTCCACTGCGAATATGAGATTGACGTCTGTTACATCGTGTTGAAACTCACAGCTGGTGCTTCCTCCACCACCTCTAGCGGTCCAATCCACAGCGATGCGCTCGGCCTCGCCGGTTTCTACCCTGAACGGTACTTCAATGAATACAGACCGTGTCCTCCTCTCCCTAATTTCAACCGAAGGTTCATACGCCCTGAAGGGGAGGGTTTGACCTGTAATGTCTGTCGTGGATGATGAGCTTGCAGAGCATTGAAGAACAAGGAGAAGTGGCGTTGAGCAGTATCCTGTAAACTGCGAAGGGGGTGTCAATCACTTAGCTAAGATTCGTGAATGGCATACCTGTTCATGGAGCGCTATGTGTCGTGAAGTGACTGTAGATGCAACAGTGTACCATCCGATGAACTCCAGAGAGGGGAAAACCTGCTTATCTGCGATGCATTGGCAATGGAAATCGCCCGGTGACAACCTGCGCACTCACATTGATCTCTCCTTTGGACCAGGAAGCCGTGATCTACGATATCATTACGCGCAAGTTCAGTAGCAAGCTCGAAGCTGTTGACAATCTCCACCTCTCGACCATTTTGCGTGCCGAGCAATGCACCCAGAACTATGACGATTCTATGTAAAGTAGGCAACGGTTGGAGCAGCGAGAGGGATCACCGACCAAAGGGTACAGTCGATTTCGTTTGCAACTTCAGTCGTGTCAAGTGCTCTGATATATTCAAGATGGGTAAGGGGTGTCTAGGCGTTGCTGTCAAGTTGCATCACTTTCGGGGGGCAGCAAAAATGCGTACAGCGAGAGTGAAAGGCCCGAAGTGACGTTAGAAGACAGCACAACTGACTGTTCGTCGGTGTCCATGGATGCCATGTTGTGGTGAGGATAGATCTCCTGGCTACAGACAAATTTAGTGCCAAAGAGGGGTCACCCCCTCACTGCCTGGATGGGAAAAAGAAATTTCCCATTAGCCGACTCGAACGACTGACCTCGTCATTACTAGTGACGCGCTCTACCAACTGAGCTAAACGGGAGACAGCCGCTACTCAACATTATCGTGTTTCCCTACCACAGTCAAACGCGAAAGGACCTGCCCTTCATTCATTCCGCCGTCGCGTCTGCGCGTGGCCGAATTCTTCATTCGTTCCCCTTGCCTGTCATGTCTGGTTTCGACGCAAACCATGTCTTCTCGGTGTCTGTGCGCGACAGGCCCGCCGTTCCCTCTACAGAAACACCCTCGCAAGTAGAAAAGCTGCTTCTCGACTTTTTGTTACAGTATAGGGTTGGAGAAGAATTCGTCTACAGGTCAGTGCCTGCAGGCAATGGATTACCGAAACGTATCGAACTCTCCTGTAGGGATAAGCTGCGCGCAAACTTGTTGTTGAAGCAATATCAGCTTGAGGTGGACCTGCGCCATCTCAGTTTGTATAACGATGAACTCGCCCATGTCATGCAAGATCGGCCTGCAGATATTCTGCCTTCGGTAACTTACTCCGTGCTTTGGTTCTGTGATGAATTAATCGACTTCGCGTCAGTTTGAAAGCGCAGCTACGAAGGCAGCTAGGATGATACTATTTCCCCTTGCCGGTGGCTCGGACGATCGAGCGGAAGCTGCACTACAGTCCATTCCCAGAATTCAGATCATGATACAATCGGGGTTGAATATGCAACGATTCCGTGATCTAACAGCCGATACTATGAACAAACTTGTCCGCATACCTGGCATTGTAATATCTGCTTCCGTTCTGTCTTCTCGAGCCACCAAACTCCACCTTCAGTGCAGAGCATGTAAATCTACTAGGATAATATACCCCCCCGGCGGGCTTGGTGGACTAGGGAGTGGATCGGATCGCGGCCTTCCGAGAACCTGTGATGCCCCCGAGCTAGAGAATCAAAAGAAAGATTGTCCATTGGACCCCTATATGATAAACCACAACAAGTCCGCCTTCGTAGATCAGCAAACCCTTAAGCTTCAAGAAGCCCCTGATATGGTTCCTGTAGGAGAATTGCCACGCCATATGCTGCTTTCTGCGGACAGGTACCTCACTGGCAAGGTCGTTCCCGGTTCGCGCATCATTGCCACAGGAATCTACTCAACGTTCAACTCCTCACGCAACGTATGTTTGCGATGTGTTTGCGTCTCACATAACTGATGTTGATCCTTCTTCAGAAATCCGCAGGGCCAGCTGCACTTCGACAGCCTTATCTTCGTCTTATACACATTGAAATGTCCTCGCCGTCGGCTGGGGGTGCTTCAAATCCATTCGGGACCCAGTTCAGCCCGGAGGAAGAGGAGGAATTTGCTGAGATGGCGAGGAGTGACAACTTTTACGAACGATTTGCGAAGAGCGTCGCTCCTAGCATATACGGCTGCCTCGGTTAGTCGTCAGCTTTCACGCGCGAAGAGAAGGGATCTGAGAACATATCTAGACATCAAGAAAGCCATCACGTGTCTGTTATTTGGTGGCTCTAAAAAGGTCTTGCCTGATGGCATGCGTCTAAGAGGAGATATCAACGTTCTTTTGTTGGGCGACCCCGGTACGGCGAAAAGTCAATTGCTGAAATTCGTCGAGAAGGTGAGCTTATGATCGAGTCATGAATTCCTGGCTGACAGTGCTACAAGGTCGCACCGATTGCTGTATATACGTCCGGCAAGGGTTCGAGTGCGGCTGGTTTGACAGCCTCAGTCCAACGCGACGCCGTTTCTGTGAGTCATTTCAAGGAAACCATTGAGGACAGCTCAGTTGATGAACTCGACAGCGTGAATTTTACCTAGAAGGCGGTGCCATGGTGCTCGCCGACAACGGGGTGGTATGTATCGACGAGTTTGACAAGATGCGTGACGAGGATAGAGTTGCCATCCACGAAGCCATGGAGCAACAAACCATTTCGATTGCGAAGGCTGGTATTACCACCGTCCTGAACTCGCGGACCAGCGTTCTTGCTGCGGCGAATCCTGTATGGGGCCGCTACGACGAAGGACGAAGTCCCGGTGAGGTACAATTGTATACTGTTTTAAATTGTGCCGGTACCATCTTCCCATTCAGAACATCGATTTCCAAACCACAATCTTGTCACGTTTCGATATGATCTTCATTGTCAAGGATGAACACAACGAACAGCGGGACAGGGTATGTCTGTCAATCTGTTCAATGGTTTGGGTACCTTGAGACCCTCGTAGATGATTGCCAAACATGTCATGAACATCCATATGAATAGACCGAATCAGAATACCGACGAGAATGGCGAGGCTGTTGGTGAAATTGATATCGACAAGATGAGGCGGTATATTGCCTACTGTAAGAGGTGATTGGGCTAACCCTAACACTTTCAACATCTTACTAACTTGTCTCTAGTAAATGTGCACCCAGGCTTTCACCTGAAGCGCAAGAGATGCTGAGCAGCCATTTTGTGAGTCTGCGACGGCAGGTGCAGCAAGTGGAGCGTGACAATGATGAACGGAGCTCTATACCCATTACCGTGCGGTCAGTCCCCATTGAAAGATACCTACTTCCATCGTTGACGAAGAGATGCTCAGCCAACTTGAAGCCATCATTCGTATATCCGAATCTCTGGGAAAAATTACGCTTTCAACTGTTGTACAAAACCACCATGTGGAAGAGGCCATACGGCTTTTCAAGTTTTCGACCATGGATGCTGTGTCAGCTGGTTCAGTGGATGGTATGTCACGCGGTGAGCTCAACGAAGAGATGTCCCGGATAGAGAAGGAACTTCGAAGACGGCTCCCTGTCGGGTGGAGCACGAGCTATCAGAGTCTAGTCCGTGAGTTCGTGACACAGCAGGGTTACTCGAGCCACGCACTTGAACGCACTCTTTACATTCTCGAGAAGCGGGAGATTATCAGATACTCAAGTCAGGTGAGTAGGGAAGTATAAAAATCGTCCCCACTTGCTGATCAGCTGGGTTGCAGAAAAAAGTCGTACATAGGTGAGCCCGAATGTGAGCACTCATTCGACGGAATTTCCACTGACAATGGTGTACGTATAGGGTTGGTGTATGAAGCGCTGGATTCCTATGTTGCTTGTATCCCCAGCAAACCATAATGCTTTGTATTACAAAACATTGTAGCATTCTGTGGTGACTGGCACTTGGCATTGCAGATACCTTCCAGATTTCCAAGCGCTCACATTACACGCCACATCGTGTAAGGCTATCACTTGCAGACTTGCCTAGTGATCAGTTCGATAATCGATGATCCGCACGTGGATGTAGCAATTCCAATCACTCGCCCTCCTGACGCCTGCAAGCTATTAGCCCACGAAGTACTCTGAGATTGTGATTTCATCGTGTCCGATGGATATGAGTAGGCTACCTGACCAGTTGCAGTAGTTGACTCTGACTAACTGGAACATACGTGCAAGAATCTTTTCTAAAGTAAAGAGTTGAAGTGATTACAAAGGAAAAAATCATAGCCCACCGCGAGGGTCGAACTCGCAGCCTTCAGATCACTACCCGGTACAGATTGTAAAAGTCTGACGCTCTATCCGATTGAGCTAGGCGGGCAGTGAATTGTATTCAATCAAATCTCTACAAGTCTCGGAGGCTGAGTTTGAGTCACGGGACCAAACGCGACGCGTAGTTGTTCAATCGTCGATGAACCCGGTTCCTTAACCAAAACACGGATCAGATGCTAGGGAACTCAGGCGAGGCGGTCTCTTCAAGTCATGAAAAGGATGCGCGGTAAGCCTGATATTGCCACTATGACTTCAGCTAACCCAGGTCTTTGTGCGTGTTAGGGCGTGTAAAATGAAGCTACCTACGCAAGTCATAGAGATCTCATCAGACTCAGATTCTGATATGTAGGTGATCACAGTTCCTTGGAATAACCATCAGCGTCTCATCACGAGCCTCATTCTCTTCGCTTAATAGTGTTCACTGCACTACGTGAGGCCTTATCGCCTAAGCCAGTCCACAAATTCCTAACAAACGGGCATACGCAGAAACACGGATAGTTTGCGGTGTAGAAATGTAATCGAGTTGACAGACAGTGACACCTCTTTGGAGCTTCCTGATCTTCTATCCCCAACAGCTACCCGACCACGTCGTCCGAAGTCTCTGGGGAGAACGGGCCCTACTAAACGGAAATATATGCCACTCTACGCCGACACGAGTGACGACAGCTCTGACAATGAGGTAATTCTCACTCAGTACGTGTCCGTCTGTCCAGTCCGCAACCCCTGATCTAAGTGAATAAATGAATTCAGCGATAGTTCCCCGGAATCTCGAGGACCAGAAACAACGAATTACCCGGCCACAAATACCACAAAACACAAGTTGCCTAGAGCGCCAGAAGGGAACGATGATACTCTATGCTCTCCTTGGAAAAAAGCGCTTCCTACCTCTGGTAAAAAGTCACCCACGAAATCATCAAAGAAAGTCCGAGATGCAGCGGAGCAGTTACGGAGGGAGAAATACGCAGTAAATCTGTTTGCAGAGCTTAACCATACCGTCTTTGGCGATGGTCTTCCCAAGGATACAAAGTTAGAATGGAGCAAACGATTACTGACCACAGCAGGACGGGCACGCTGGTACCGGTGAGTAATGTTTGATCTGGCGATCAAAGACCAACACGTTTGTGAATGCAGCTCGCGAGATGGTACACAAACCACAAAGATTGAACTTGCCACCAAAATTTTGGACTGTAACGGTAAGTCAGCGTGTTAGGAGATTGCCGGAGATGAAGTCATGTCGTCGATAGAGCGTATTCACAATACTCTTTCCCATGAGATGTGCCACTTGGCATGCTGGATAATCAGTAATAGTCCGCGGGAAGGCCATGGGCGACTGTTCAAATCGTGGTATGCCAGATTTGAAGTATTAATGCAAACGTGACTCACTTTTACCGGAGGGCGAGCAAGGTCATGTGCAAATACCCCCATATCCAGGTTTCGGTACGAGGAATACGCGTGCCGTCCGGACGATGTACTGATTGCCACCGAAAGACTCGTCACAACTACCAGATTACATACCCTTATCAGTGGAGTTAATCTATTTCCCCTTCTGTCAGAATGCGGATGAGTGCTGAGAACTATCTGATAGAATGTACCCTGTGCTCAAAAGTGTAAGTGCAACGTCTTTACATAAAAGGGATGCTAGGCACGACGGTATTGGTTCAGGTACGGTAGATACTCCAAGTCAATAAAGCCAGAGGAGTGCAGTAAGTCTTCGAATCACAATGGCCACGTAATAATGACCTTCTTCTGTAAGCGTGTGGAGCTTGTAAGGCTGGCAAACTCATTCCGTTGTTTGCTCAGAGGACGACTGGGGCACGGAGGGCTGATGTTATAGCAAGCTCGACCTTCACTGGTGAGGATGCTTTGAAAAGTATATCGCTCGCAGTGTCCACTAATCCCTCACTTTTGACAGAAGAAGACGGGCTTTCCGGTGCATTGAAGGATCTATTTATCGAACGCCGCAGGTTTTAGATTTCAAGTGGTGCTGAGGGATATACTAGACTGGATCAGGTTGACAAGGAATGATTGGAATGACTTGCTCTTCTTGATGGTTTTACGTAATAGTCATAGTGTCCTGACTGGACAGCGTCTGGGTGACATTTGCGTTATGAATTATGCACTCCAGGACCCTACATGTTCGTCACTCTGCAGGACTGGTTATAAGCCCCCCATATCTCTAGGTAAACTAATACCTCTTACTACTACCTCCATCCCGTGGGCTGGCCATGGATAGCTTATCTGGGAAGTTTATTGGTGCTGTCCAGGATGAGTGGCAAATGTTCAGGTATTTTTCAAGTTCGCCCACGTAGACCCCTCAACCTCACTTCGAGGACCTCAGTGATTGTCCTCAGGATTATAGCGTCGGCGCACCCATAGGCTTTGGAGCGTCCTCCATTGTTTATGATGCTGTCTACCATCCCCCGCCTCCGCAACGTCCGATACAATGCGCTCTCAAGGTTCTCGACCTCGATATCCTCCCTCCTCGGTCTCTTTCTTTGCTGCAACGTGAAACCCAACTCATGTCTCTCTCGAAACACCCGAACGTCCTACGTGTACGTGGCTCATGGATAGACGGCCACAAATTGTACATTGCCCTTCGCCTTATGAACAAAGGGAGTGCGGCAGACATCATGCACTATGGCTGGCCAGGTGGCATGGAAGAAGAAGTGGTCAAATGCATCCTCAAGCAGGCCCTTGAAGGCATAAAGTATGTATATGACATGTCATGCTTTGTGGAATATCCTCAGTCAAATTTCAAGTTATTTGCATGTGAACGGCTCCATCCATCGCGATATAAAGGCGGCTAACCTATTAATCGACGACGATGGCACTGTTCTCTTGGGTGATCTAGGTGTAGCAGCATCTCTCACTGAAGACACAGACACCTCTTGCCGGCCCACCCTAAATTATGAAGGGGGATCGACAAATTCTGATGGTGTTCAAGCACCATTGGGCTCAGTCATAGGGTGTACACGCCCCCAGGTGGGAAAACGGAAATCGTTTGTTGGGACGGTGAGCATGACCTCCTCCATTCGTGTTTCGGCCCCTAACGGCGCCACAGCCGTGCTGGATGGCCCCGGAACTTATCGAAGGAAAGCGGTACGGCGTCAAAGCTGACATATGGTCATTTGGCGTAACCTGTGTCGAGTTGACGCAAGGGCGGCCCCCAAGAGCGCGTGAAAGCCCTCATTCTGTTTTGCTGCAGATGTAGGTTTTTCTTGCGTTATCATAGTCTTAATTGATATTTATTCTGCTTCACGCTGCAGTGTCCAAGGAAAGCCACCTAGCGTGGACCGAGAGGGTGGCGTTCACCGGTATTCCCAAGCATTCAAAGACATTGCTGACGCTTGCCTTACGAAGGACCCTGCCAAGCGGTGAGTGACATGTAACCCCATGACGTCGTCTTATCAAACTCTGTCAGGCCGACAGCTGCGCAGCTCTTGCAGACGCCATTTTTCAGAAGCGCAAAGAAGAAGTCGTACCTTACGGGGACGATCCTAGCTGGTCTTCCGCCTCTCGTAGTGCGTCAGGAGCGGCGCAAACTTCCACCGAGCCTTACAAGCCAAGGTACGATGGACTCGTGGGATTTCAGCTTGTCCGCAATCGGGTCCATTTCCCCATCCATAAATGCGGCTATCAATTCAAGGGCACCTCAGGGTGCAAGAAACCTCTCGTCATCACCTAACCTTAGGGGAAGTTTTGAGTTAGATTCCTTCCAACACTCCGTCCTCTCACGCAAAGATCCTTACCCACAAATTAACGTGGCGACACCTGAAGACAGACTGGAGGAATACTTTCCTGATCCACATGTCACTACAGCCACAGACATTACACCAGGCACAAGCCATCCTCTGCGGGAGACTGTAGATGTAGAAGACGAAGGGAAACAAGACATACTGGGATCATCACTTCCACTCCTTTCGTCTTCCCCAAGCACATCTTCAAAATCTTTACAATCCCAAACCTCGCAGTTGCAGGAATTGGAACAACAACCGATCATACCATTGGAAGATCAGCGTGTCTCTACTTTTGCCCCAGTCCCAATTCGTCGGCGCCTGCGTTCAATGTCAATATCTCTTATTTCGTCCTCGCCTCATACGGAGATGCCAAGTACTGCGCTGCCTGCCTCTGTACCGAGTGTATGGGGCAGGATTACTCGCAGCGTGTCTCGCAATGCCCTCATGGGCGACGAATTACCTACGAATGATAGCAAGACCGGTGCAATCGCACGTTTCTTTGGCAGACGTAGGTCATCTTTCTCGTTATCTCAACGTCCCAATCTGCCATCATAAATGAAACGCTGTACTGTTACGTATACCCTATCCGGATACCACTTCGTATATCTTTTACTGTTCGGTTCGTTGAGGCTTATTTTTCCTTTCCGTGATGTGAGGTTTGTGATAGCCGTCTAATAATATTACCCGTGTATATGGGAACTACTACAAGGATGTAGCGGTATAGACTGTCATCCGATAACGAGCTTATTGTCCGTTTCATTCAACTCATATGGAGGAATTTCCAGGTTGAGCTAGATAAAGAGATCAGATCAAGGGTACCTCATCGCCAAATCGACTCACGGGGGCAGGTCCCTTACGCGCGCGACCAGCTACAGGATGAAACCTTAGATTCGCACAATCCAGTTTTCAAAGTAACACTCACAGATATCATAATGTGAACCATGACATGGGCAGAACCACCCTCCATAGTCGCCTGCCTCGCCAATGGGGACACAACCAAGGTGAGTGCAAACACCAAGCATGACCAACCACTCTGGCTTCTTAACTCGCGCCTCGTCAGGTTGAGGGTCTCTGAAAGCCTTCCAGTTAACACTGCGGGCTTCTTCAATTTCTTCTGGGGTTCTGTGTCGGATAAAAACAGGCTTCCCTCGCCATTTGATGATGACATTCTTGCCCTCTGGAATGCTGGCAAGGTCAACTTCAGTTTTGGCCAAAGCCAGGACATCAGCGGAGGCAGCCATTGTTTCCAGGAAACCAGTGAGGGTAGACTTGGCGGCGGAAGCGGAGAGTACACCAAGAGAGCCAACCATAA